GAATGTAGTTTATTTATAGTTATTTTCAAATCTTCAATGTACTGTCATTATAAAATAACTTCATTATTGTTTAATTCTAACAAATAAGTTATTTTTAAAAGCTAACCAAAAGTAAAAAATAATTTGCTTATAATTTCTGCACAGGGGAGACTTGGTGTTGTTTCCAAACAAAATAAATATATCGGTATCGGTATCGACAATCAGCCAAAATTAGTTGAAAAATATCGGCATATCGGATATCGGCAAAAATCCAATATCGTGCATCCCTAGAAATAAATGTAGCCAAGAACTGAAAACAGAAGCATGTCAGCGCCAATAAATGTCAGCTGATTAATCAGGATGGCTGATACATCAGACTACTGTGGTTTCAACGCTCCCAGGCATTGTATATTTTCCCTCCTGCTGAAGACACCTTCTCAATCTCTTCGAAGTGAATTTCCCTTTTTATAGACATGCCGCTGTTTCCCCCTTCGGCCGAAGAGCCCTTGGTGTCCATCGACACTCTCCGGTGCTCCAGTTCCAGGCAAACGCATCCCGTCAGGTCACTTTCGGTGAAGATCCGGTTCGTTCTCGAGCCCAGGCTGAGCGGGTGGCCGCTAACAGCCGTATTCAAAGGGCTTCCAGCTCTGGGCTGTTTGATGCTGAATCTCGTCTTCTTTCGGGCCCAGCAACAAGCCTGATGCTGACACGAGGCCTGAAAGCCTCTCTTGAAGTTCTCGTTGAAGTAGCCGTAGATAATGGGGTTTACGCTGGAATTGGAGAAGGCCAGCCAGTGAGAGAGAGGGAATATATAGCTAGTGAGGAGCTCCAGATTGTCCTCATCTGGACGGGCGTAATCGGTCAGCAGCATGAGCGTCCACAGCGGCAGCCAGGACAGCATGAAGAGCAGAGCCACCACAATCAGCATCTTTATCACTCGGATCTTTCTTTGAGACGTGGGAACATCAGGCTGCTCAGCGCTGGCTAGGACGGCTGTGGCGTACAGCTTTGCGCCGATCCGGCCGTACATGAGCATGATGAGCAACAGGGGAATGACGTATACGTGTAGGAACAGGACGGTGGTGTACACTTTCCTCATCTCCGGGTCGGGCCAGGTCTCGTAGCAGGAGTACAGCGGGTATGTGCTGTTGTCACTGTGAACCATGACATGCCCTTTTTCTTGCTCGACGGTCAACATTAACACAGAGGGAAACATTATGGTGAGAGCGAGCACCCATATCGCCCCTATTGACACCTTTGCGACAAAGAGCGTAAGTTTGGGCTTGAACGGGTAAACGATGCAGCGAAACCTGGGTTTCAGACGAGGAGAAAACACATACGTGGACATTAACCCAGACTGCTTTCTAGCTTTCTACTCTAATATAACAAACACACACATATATACATATATATAAATATATATATAAGAAATAAATATTTTAGATATATTTATTTTACAATAAATGACATAAGCTGAGGTAAATGTATGCGTAACTTTTATTCTCGCTGTAGTATTGTTGCTGCCGCCGCCGCCATGTCGTGAAGGTAGACTTGTGCCGGTATTCGGTGATGCGATGTATCACGGTAATGAATATGCATGATATTGTTATCGTGGGCAGTTCTAAATACCGTGAATAATTATATATTACAAATTATTCAGAATTTTTAATGCATTTTAAGAATACTTTTCCCATCAACTGGTCAAAACGCACAACACCGCTGTATGCTGCGTGAAAGACGCATGCGCACTCTGACGTAAACAAGCGCGGACGAGAAGCACATGGCGGAACATGTGAGAGACGCTCTGGATGAAAGCGCACTTTCACTCT